TATAACTGTTCCACAAGCTCCCACAATACTTTATTATAATATGCTTACGACATTTCAACTAAAGTATTAAACCTCTTTTTCTCCTATTTTGTCATGTGACGTTTGGCTTCTTTTGATTTTTTATCTTTAATGCTCTATTGAATTTTCCCTTCAAATTACAAAGGCAATATAAGCAACAAGCCAGATAACAGAGATGTATAAAGAAAAGCTAGCAATCTCCCACTTCCCCAGGGTAATCCCTATAACACACTTGCTTATATCCTTCCACACTTTCCTTTATTGTTACGCAAACCATAATATGAAGATTCATGTGTATGTCAATAGTCCAGTATATGTCTTTCCATACTTTTCTTCATGTTCATATAAATGTCCATATTCATAAGTGTGTGTTTCCTAATTGGTACAAATATATAATTATACTAGTCACAGTAAGCTCTAACTTTTGGTTTTTACTTGACAAAAATACATAAATATCCTTTAGGCCAAAAGTTATAGCAGTTAACTCATTCTTTGTAATAACTGCATAACAATTCATAGTATGAATAAAGCACCATTTATCCAAGCATTACACTTCTGAAAGATACTCAGATTGTTTCCAATTTTTATTTTTGCCCCTGTAATTCATGTAGCAATAAACATCCTTGTTCAAATATCCTTGTACGTTGGTGTTTTTATTTTTATTTGATAGATGCGGAGAAATAAGATTTAGAATTTATGTCCAAAGTGCTATTTTAAATGCTTTACATTTAATATCCCATTTAATCTTGATACAACCAGATGAGGTATCATTATTATTGCTGTTTTTAAGTATGATGAAATTTAGGTAAATAACTTGTCCAAAAGATTTCCAAGCAGTCTAACCTCCAAGTTCTTGCTCTTTACATTTCCCTTACCCAGAAATTGCCTGATTACTTTCCCCAGAGGTTGCACCCACTCACAGTCCTTCCATGATAGATTCTACTAACCATCCAAAGCCTTCCGTTGTGCACCACAGAACAGTTTATTTGGTGATGGGACAGCAGCAGTAGGAAATGTGCTTCCTTGGGTGCACAAATCCTAGCTTGTTGGCTTACAAACACAGTTAAGTGTGTTCCCTATAGTCCAAAGGCCTTTTACAATGTGGAATCTGGTTACCTCCTTGAGGACTCTTTAGGTCTATCTCTCTTATAGTAGTCGAGATTTAAAAAAATTAATACATTTGCTAGTGGATGGAAAGCAGGACACTCCATTAGAAGGGGGTGTCTCTGCTAGCTTCCAGATCTACAATTCAGGAAAGCAGATGCCAGGAAGTTTCCATTCGTAGGCTAAATGTTGTTAAAATTCTTACTTAGTCTTCAGCCTTTTCATGTTTACAGAATGAAGTCATTCTTTCTCCACCTCTCAAAACCAAAATTTCCAAAACTAATTAAAATTATAATGGCATCTACTGTTTTTATTTTATGTGTCTTTATTAATTTCATTTATTTCTCCTAAAAGTATTTCAAAATGTTGCAATAGAGTCCTGGGGACTTCAGCAAAGGGTGGTTTTTGTTTTGTTTTGTTTTTTGTTTGTTTGTTTTTTGAGACAGAGTCTCGCCCCGTCGCCCAGGCTGGAGTGCAGTGGCGTAATCTCGGCTCTCTGCAACCTCCGCCTCCCGGGTTCAAGCGATTCTCCTGCCTCAGCCTCCCAAGTAGCTGGGACTACAGGCACCCGCCACCATGCCCAGCTAATTGTTGTATTTTTAGCAGAGACAGGATTTCACTATGTTAGCCAGGCTGGTCTCAAACTCCTGACCTCATGATCCGCCTGCCTCAGCCTCCCAAAGGGCTAGGATTACAGGCGTGAGCCACAGTGCCCAGCCCGGGTGTGGTTTTTACTAATAAAATAAATGAACTAAATTAAACTAAGCAATATGTATCTGCTTTTCCTTTAGAAGAGTACAACTTGAGGGCATGATATTTTTATTTTGGCTCCTATGGTGAGACAGGAATAAGAAACAATAAATGCTAAATATTGTACCCAGTCCATCATATTTTAGCAAATAAACAGTTGGAGACACAATGGGATAATTATAGAATACCAGGAAAGAATTTATAGCAGTTCATAGGGAGTGTGTACATGGTCATTTGACAAAGAGTCTGACGTTTATGCCTCAAGAAATGCAACAGGAGATGCTCTGTGTTAAAGATCCTCATGCTGAGAGTATTAATAACTACTTTGCACCCACAGAAACAAGTTCAGGAATGAACTTCCATTCACAATTGCTTCAAAGAGAATAAAATACCTAGGAATCCAACTTACAAGGGATGTAAAGGACCTCTTCAAGGAGAACTACAAACCACTGCTCAGTGAAATAAAAGAGGACACAAACAAATGGAAGAACATACCATGCTCATGGATAGGAAGAATCAATATCGTGAAAATGGCCATACTGCCCAAGGTAATTTATAGATTCAATGCCATCCCCATCAAGCTACCAATGAGCTTCTTCACAGAATTGGAAAAAACTGCTTTAAAGTTCATATGGAACCAAAAAAGAGCCCGCATCTCCAAGACAATCCTAAGTCAAAAGAACAAAGCTGGAGGCATCACGCTACCTGACTTCAAACTATACTACAAGGCTACAGTAACCAAAACAGCATGGTACTGGTACCAAAACAGAGATATAGACCAATGGAACAGAACAGAGTCCTCAGAAATAATACCACACATCTACAGCCATCTGATCTTTGACAAACCTGAGAGAAACAAGAAATGGGGAAAGGATTCCCTATTTAATAAATGGTGCTGGGAAAACTGGCTAGCCATAAGTAGAAAGCTGAAACTGGATCCTTTCCTTACTCCTTATACGAAAATTAATTCAAGATGGATTAGAGACTTAAATGTTAGACCTAATACCATAAAAATCCTAGAGGAAAACCTAGGTAGTACCATTCAGGACATAGGCATGGGCAAAGACTTCATGTCTAAAACACCAAAAGCAACGGCAGCAAAAGCCAAAATTGACAAATGGGATCTCATCAAACTAAAGAGCTTCTGCACAGCAAAAGAAACTACCATCAGAGTGAGCAGGCAACCTACAGAATGGGAGAAAATTTTTGCAATCTACTCATCTGACAAAGGGCTAATATCCAGAACCTACAAAGAACTCAAACAAATTTACAAGAAAAAAACAAACAACCCCATCCAAAAGTGGGCAAAGGATATGAACAGACATTTCTCAAAAGAAGACATTCATACAGCCAACAGACACATGAAAAAATGCTCATCATCACTGGCCATCAGAGAAATGCAAATCAAAACCACAATGAGATACCATCTCACACCAGTTAGAATGGCGATCATTCAAAAGTCAGGAAACAACAGGTGCTGGAGAGGATGTGGAGAAATAGGAACACTTTTACACTGTTGGTGGGATTGTAAACTAGTTCAACCATTATGGAAAACAGTATGGCGATTCCTCAAGGATCTAGAACTAGATGTACCATATGACCCAGCCATCCCATTACTGGGTATATACCCAAAGGATTATAAATTATGCTGCTATAAGGACACATGCACACGTATGTTTATTGCAGCACTATTCACAATAGCAAAGACTTGGAATCAACCCAAATGTCCATCAGTGACAGATTGGATTAAGAAAATGTGGCACATATACACCATGGAATACTATGCAGCCATAAAAAAGGATGAGTTTGTGTCCTTTGTAGGGACATGGATGCAGCTGGAAACCATCATTCTTAGCAAACTATCACAGGAACAGAAAACCAAACACCGCATGTTCTCACTGGTAGGTGGGAACTGAACAATGAGATCACCTGGACTCGGGAAGGGGAACATCACACACCGGGGCCTATCATGGGGCGGGGGGGAGGGATTGCATTGGCAGTTATACCTGATGTAAATGACGAGTTGATGGGTGCAGCACACCAACATGGCACAAGTATACATATGTAGCAAACCTGCACGTTGTGCACATGTACCCTACAACTTGAAGTTTAATAATAATAAATAAATTTAAAAAAAAAAAAAATAACTACTTTGCACCCACAGAAACACTACCGATCTAGCAACTTCTGTGGATAACCTAAGGTTGAACTGGCACCACTGCCTCTCTGGTAGCAAGATGGTGTTAAGCAAGTTCTTCTGGGAAAATGGACTGAAATAACTTCCTGAAAACCTCTTCCCTTAAGGGAAAAAAAAAAAAACGAACTGAAAAATGAACTCCTACTGAAGAATTACCAGGCAGTCAAGGAAGCTGCCAGCATGTAAAATTGCCTCTGCGGTTGTCAGACTTGGAAACTTTGGGTGGCAACTGCATCGTTAGGATAAAATTAGGTTGGTGAATAAGGTCAGCTTTGGGCAAGAGCCAATAGTGACCAGAAATAGCTAAAGTTTGTGATTTGGGGCTTAAAATTTACTAAAATTTGTAAACGTTAACGTATTCTACATTAACTTATTTTACACCCACCCTCCCCTGCCGGTCAGTTAAGTATGGAAAGCATTATTAGGTCCATTTTACAGAGAAGGAAACACATTCAGAGAAGGTATTGTAACTTGTCCAGGGGCTTCATATTTCATCGACTAGCCAGCAAGCACATCATGCTTCTGCTTCTGGTGATGTGAAGGAGGCATCGTTAGGGTCAGACTAGAGTTCAGCAAAGTTTCCTCTCCACAGAAGCAAAAGAGACCCTCCTAAACCCGCTGATTGCCTAGAACCACATCACAAGTCAAAATGCCTGCGGGTTGGGCCCACCGTGACAAGCGTGGGGACGTGAGAGCGGCAGAATGGGGACGTGACAAGGCCTTGCCCTGGCTGGGGTGAGCTGTAGGGAGGTGGCGGGACGGACCTGGGGCACTACGGAGCAGAGTTGCTCACTGCGGGGTGCTGCCGGCTCCGCAGGTGCCCCACCTGCGCAGCTCGCGCCCCGCCCGCCACCTTCCCTGAGTGCTCTGAGCTGCAGGTTCTGCGCTCCGCTAGCCCCTCAGCCGCTCGCCCCTGGCTATGGTCACTCACTCACGGTCCGGGACACCTTCAACTCCTTGTTGAGCCACTGGCACAGGATCTCCGACATGGTTCAGCCGGTGCCTCAGACCGCAGGCGGGTGCTAAGAAACTCGCCAGGAACCAAGCCCGCCCTCCCGCGTCCTCCTGTTGCCAAGGGCAACCCTTTGCTAAGGAAGCGTATCCAGGCTGGAACTAGACGAAAGGCATAGAGAAGAGGGGACGCCAGGGCTCAGCCGCAGACGACAGAAAATCGTGTTCCGCCACCTGCTGGCGGGTAAGACCTGAGCGTGCGCCAGCGCAGGAGGAGGCAGTAGGGGGCCTGTGAGAGAAGTTAGGGAGCAGTGGGTGTGGGCAGGGGCGAGGCGGGAACACTTAGGGACACAGCAGGGGCTTCTTTGGTGAGCAGAAAGAAAAACGAGAGTCTCCGCAGGGCTCCGTGGCTCACGCCAATAACCCTACCACTTTGTAGAGGGTGTGGCGCTCGCTTGACCCTGGGAGTTCAAGACCAGCCTGGGCAAGGTAGCAGAAACCTTTTTTTTTCTATAAGAAATTAAGCGGGCGTGGTGGCCTGCGCCTGTGGTCCAGTTGTTCAGGATGCTGATGTGGAAGGATCAACCCAGGAGGCAGAGTTTACAGTGAACCAAGATCGAGCCACGGCACTCCAGCCTGGGCAACAGAAGGAGACTCTGTCTCAAAAAAAAAGAAAAAAGAAAAAAGAAGAACAAGAAGGAGGAGAGGGAGAAGAAGAAGAGGAGGAGGAGGGGGAAGAGGAGGAACAGAAAGAAAAGAAGAAAGGAGAAGGAGAACAAGAAGGAGGAGAACGAGGAGAGATCAAAGAAGAGGAAGAAAAATTAAAAAGAAGAGGAAGAAGAAGAAGGGTATTTGGGGTATCCATCACCTTGAGTATTTATCATTTATATACGTTGGTAACATTTCAAATCTTCTCTTCTAGCTATTTTGAAATATACAACATATCATTGCTAACTATAGTCACCCTAGTTGCTAGCTAACATTAGACCCTATTTCTTCCATCTAACTATAAGTTTGCACCCATTCACCAACCTCTCTTCATTTCCCCTTCCCACCCTCACATCCTTTCCAGCCTGTGGTACTGATAATTTTGTTCTCTATCTCCAGGAGATCAACTTTTTTAGCTACCACATATGAGTAAGAACATGCAGTATTTGTCTTTCTGTTGCCTGGCCTATTTCACTGAACATAATGGCCTCCAGTTCCATCTATGTTGCTGCAAATGACCTGTTTTCATTTTTTTCCATAGACAAATGGTATTCCATTATGTATATATACATTTAAGTCTTTAATCCATCTTGATTTGATATTTGCATGTGGTGAGAAATACTTTTCAGCTTTTCTCTTCTGCATGTGGATAGCCAATTTATCCAGCACCATTTATTGAAGAGGGTGTTCTTTCAACATAGTTCTTGGTGCTTCAGTTGAAAATCAGTTGTCTGTAAGTACATGGATTTGTTTCTGGGTTCTCTATTCTGTTACGTTGTTCTTTGTGTCTATTTTTATACCACTACCAAGCTGTTTTGATTACTATAGCCTTGTAATATAATTTGAAGTCAAATATTGTGCTGTTTCCAGCTTATGCTGTATTAATTACTATAGCCTTGTAATATAATTTAAAGTCAGATACTGTGCTGTTTCCAGCTTTGTTCTTTATGCTTAGGATTGCTTTGGCTATATGGGCTCTTTATTGGTTCCATATGAATTTTAGGATTGTTTTTTCTATTTCTGTGAAAACAATATTGGTATTTTTATAGGAATTGAATCAAATCTATAGATTGTCTTAGGTAACATGATCATTTTAATGATATTAATTCTTCCAGTTCATGAACATAGGATGTCTTTCCATTTGTTTGTGTCCTCTTCAATTTCTGTCATCAGTGTTTTGCAGTTGTTCTTGTAGGGTCTTTCATTGCCTTGGTTAAATTTATTCCTAGGTATATATTTGTACTGTGCTAATTGTAAATGAAATTGCTTTATTTATTTATTTATTTATTCATTCATTCATTCATTGGCAGAGATGAGTTCTCTCTATGTTGCACAGGCTAGTCTTGAACTCCTGGGCTCAAGCAATCCTCTGCCTTGGCCTCCTAAAGACTTGGGACTACAGGTTTGAGCCACTGCACCTGGCCTTGATTTACTTTTCAGCTATTTCAGTATTAGTGTACAGAAATGCTACTGATTTTTGTATGTTCATTTTGTATCCTGTTACTTTATTGAATTTACTTATCAGCTATAAAAGCTATTTGGTGGTTTTTAAATTTTTGAAAATATAAGATTATGTCATTTACAAAAAGGGACTATCTTCCAATTTAAGTATGTTTTCTTTCTTTCTCTTGCCTAATTTATTTGGCTAGGACTTTCAGTTCTCTCTTGAATAAGAGTAGTGAAAGTGGGCATCCTTGTCTTGTTCCAGTTTTTAGAGAAAAGGCTTTCAACTTTCCCCCATTCAATGTTAGCTGTGGGCTTGTCATATATGTTCTTTCTATGCCTAGTTTGTTGAGAGTTTTTATCATGATGGAATGTTGAATTTTATTAAGTGCTTTTTCTGCATCTATTGAGATCATCACATGGTTTTTGTCCTTCATTCTGTTGGTGTGATGTATAACATTTATTGGTGTGTGTATGTCAAACCATCCTTGCATCCCTGGTATAAATACCCTTTGATCATTGTGTATTATCTTTTTGATGTGCTATTGAATTCAGTTTGCTTGTATTTTGTTAAGGATTCTTGCATCTATATTCATCAAGACATTAACCTGTAGTTTCCTATTTGGGTTGCATTCTTGTCTGTTTTTGACATCAGGGTAATACAAAGAATGCATCAGGGAGAATTCACTCCTCCTCAATGTTTTAAAGAATAGTTTGAGGAAGATTAGTATTAATTCTTTATACATTTAGTAGTATTCAGCAGTGAATCCATCTGGTCCTGTGCTTTTGTTTGTTAGGATAATTTTTATTACTGATTCATTCTCTCTAGTTGTGATTGGTCTGTTCAGGTGTTGTATTTCTTCCTGATTCAATCTTGCTAGTTTGAGTTGTTCCAGAAATGTATCCATTTCCCCTGAATTTTCCAGTATGTTAGCATATAGTTGTATATAATAGTCTCTGATAATAGTTTATATTTCTGTGATATCAATTGTATTATAATATCACCATTATCATTTGCTGATATTTGGGTTTTCTCTCTCCTTTTATTGATTGCTCTAGTTAGCAGTTTATCAATTTTGTTTATCTTTTCAAAGAACCAACTTATCATTTCATTGACCCTTTGTGTTTCTTTTTTATTAAAGTCCCTATTTTGTTTAGTTCTGTGCTGTTTATTATTTCTTGCTTTCTGCTAATTTTGGATTTGGTTTGTTCTTGCTTTTCTTGTTTCTTGAGGTGTGTTGTTAAACTGTTTATTTGAAATTTTTCTACTTATTTGATGTGGGCATTTGTTGCTATAAACTTTCGTATTAGTTCTGCTTTTGCTGTATCCCACAGGTCTTGGTATGTTGTGTTTCCATTTTCATTTGTTTCAAGAAATTTTTTAACCTCCATCTGAATTTTTTCATTAACCTATGGAAATTCAGGAGCATGTTATTTAATTTCTGTATATTTATATGATTTATGTGGTTTCTGAAGATTCTCTTCATATTGATGTCCATTTTTATTCCACTGTGGTCTGAGAAGATACTTAATATGATTGCAATTTTAAAAAAATTTTTGAGACATGTTTTGTGGCCTAACATACAGTCTATCCTAGAAAGTGTTCCATGTGCTATTGGAAAAAAAAATGTGTATTTTGCGATAGTTGAATACAAAGAGAGTCTTGACTGAAAATTTTTTTGTTTGTCTTTTCAAGAAGCCGTATTGAGGCTCTTGTTTTAATGGCAGCGATTTTGTCATTGATCTACAAATAGTTTTAGTTGCTATATTATATGGGCTACCCTTGCATTAATAGAATGTATCTTATTCCTTTTATTCTCAGACTAGTATAGGACCTGACATGCAGCTAGCATTCAATAATTTTTATTGGCAATGGTGGCAGAACTAACAATTAGGATTATTGACATCTCTATATTGTTTTGAGAGGTGAGATTTTATTAAACTACTTTTCTAGTCAGTTTTACCTTTCAAGTAATTATTTAAAATTGTATTTTGACAAAAACTCATCCTTGGCATGCTAATTCAGTTTTAGCAAAAATGCGGCTGGGTTCATTCAGTGAAAATCCCCAACCTTGGATATCTGATCAAATTCTAATCTTCCACCATTCCCAGGACTTATCACTATGGCCTGTCTTCAGCAAGAAGAATCCTGTCAAGTCAGTCTAGCTAGAATCCCCCTGACCCTGATGTTTCCTTTTAGTAATTTTTTATCCACTGATCACCACCATGCTCTTTGGCTATAAATCCCCACTTTTCTTTGTATTTGGAGTTGAGCTTGATTTTTCTCCCCTATTGTAAAACTCCATTGCAGTGGTCCCTTGAATAAAGTCTTTCTTACCCTCTTTAACAAGTATCAGAAAAATTTTTGTTTAACAATTTCTAAAGGTTTAGATGGAATGATAGAAAAAATATATATATATAAAATCTATGCATTATCTTATATGTACAATAATATAGAAGTAATTGTTTGTTGTAAATACAAGAAGCTTCCTGCAATAAGACCTAGATACACCAAATTATGATTCTTTTCAATCGTCGGCACAGTAACAGTAATGTCCAATTAGACCAATCTCTCTTGAGATTGATCTGAAGTTAATCTGGGTGTCCTGTTGAATAAAAACTTAATACCATTACTAAGTACTTAGTACCATTTCATTCTTGTCTGTACTTCTAAACATCCCATCACATGAGTTTTCTTGGTATCTCTAATGTGTGCACATTATCATTTTGGTTTGATGGTTCTGTTTCAAATATGTTCTTATAGTAAACTCAAATTTCTTCTCTAGAGAACTGTCTGACTTCCTATGTCCATTTTATAGAACTAACTAATTGTATTTAGTAACAATATCTCAGGAAGTGGGAATTCCAAGCAGGATATGATCTTATTCAGAGTAATTATCTTAACAACTTATGGAAAAATGTGGATTATTTTGGTTGAGGCAAAACGGCCTAATCAACCCAATACAGCAGGCAAGGCTACAGTTGGAATTCTGAGAGAGCTTTATTGCCACAAAATTGGAGCCTGATATATTCAA